CTGTTTCCATTTGGAATTATGACAGATATTTTAAGTGCTTAAGAGTAAAACCATGTGAAATGAATGGTATGTCCCAAAACAAATTACTAAGTCAGAAACAAAACATTTTTGAATATTTCTTCAGCCTTTGGGGGGACTTGTAATAGAAGGAGGGAAAACATATTTCTTCATTTAAATCAGTGCACCAGTACAAGTGTAACATAGCAACTCCTAGTAATAAGCAAACTAAAAAAAAGTATAGGTCAGATATATTAAGATTTTTTCTTTTAATGACACTTTTTCAGTGTCATTAAATCTTCACATATACTGCACAAGTACATTGATACATATGAAGACCAACACCAGCTAAAAAACTGGCAACTGTGGCTTCACATTGAGCAACAGTTCATTTAGTGTTCACTCAAAGTTATAACAGCACTGGAAAAAAGTGACTTATGACCATTTTTCACACTTACGGCCTTTGTAGCATCCCGTGATCAAAATTCAGATGCTTCATACTAATGACAATTGCAGTGTCCCAAGGTTTTGACAAGAAAAATCACTATACACACACACACACACACACACACATGTGGATTATCTATATACTGTACATATACATACACACAAATACATCCATACTCCATATACTTATGTTAATGTATGAAGTTGAAACTTAATAAATATATAATAATAGATGATATGTGATAGATAGATAGTTTACTTTATTGTCATTGCACGTCATACAACGAAATTAAATGCCATCTTCAGTGTACATTTATAACTATAAGAATAAAACACAAATACACATCCTTCTGTACAATTGAATTGAAAACCGAATATTGCATTAATAGATAGATATAAATCTTTATTAAATTTCAACATCATACCTTAAAATACAAACTAACTCCCCTCAAAAGGGAAAGTATCCTTATAGAAAATTATTACTTTCATATACTTATTTATTTTATTCATATTCCACCTCCTGTTTGCCCCACAGCAACAATCCTAGGAGGGGGGGTGGGGAGCTGAAAGAGATGGACTGGCCCAAAGTCACCCAGCCAGCTTTCATGGCTAAGGCAGGACTGGAACACAGAGTGTTCTGGTTTCTAGGGTGGTGCCTTAAGCACTAGGCCAAACTGGATATATTGAAGTAATATCCCATTCAGTGTTATGAGATGTGCATAAATACAATTTCCTGTTACCTTCTTAGGACAAAAATCATTTTTTGTTTTATGGTTGCTTTTCCTTGCTGCTTATAATCATAGCCTTGAAGAACGACACCACCTATTGGCCTTCTTCAACCTAACATCTTATCAGAAATTCTGACAACTGCAAGCCAAATAAATTTAGACAGGGCTGAACCAGGGAAGTCCCTACTAACGACTACATGCGACACATACACACATACACACACATACTGCACATAAACACACAGACCCATGACAGTCTACCATTTCAAAATATTATGTATTACACAATTTCCACGTTTGCCTAGTTTCCCAGAGAAATTTATCTTGCCTTTTCTTGTTGAGGAATTTGTTTGCATTATGTCTAATTTGATCTATTTTTATACTGGCACAGCCCTCTTTGGTGAGGCAATTTGCAATTTGTTGAGACAAATGCAGCAGGACACTTGCTGGTGTTATTGCTGATCATAATGCTGATTGTAATGTAACTTTATTTATTATTTTATAAACATTACAGCACATTCCAAATCATTTATTTCTCCAGAGACATTTGAGATCAACCTATAAATGTAAGGTGGAATGTAATATCTAGGGTTCTTTTCAATCGTAATCTTTCACTGTAACTAAATTAATAACTCAGGATTTGTATCATTATCTGCTAATGAAGGTTTCTAGCAACAGAAAGTATTCCCCAAATTTGCTCATGATTTGTTCCAAAGAGATGGAAAATGTTCATGAAGTGAGAAATGAGCTGGTTCTGTTCAACAAATTTAAGGGGCACCCAAGGAGCAAGCAATCAAGAAATGCTTTCCTCCCTCACAGAGACTCTCAGATGCCATGTTGTGTCTATATGTCAGGCAATGGTCTTCCCTGGGATGTCCTATGGAAGTGAAAGTTGGACTTTGAAGAAGTAGGACAGGAAGAGAAATTGGTGGTTTTGAATATTGGTGTTGAAGGAGACTCCTGCGAATTCCTTGGACAGCCCAGAAAACAAGCCAATGGATTATCAAACAAATCAACCCAGAACTTTCATTCAGGTCACAAATGGCCACAATAAAAGTTATTCTACTTTGAGCACATTATGCCCTAGCTCTCTGGAGAAGGTTCCAATGCTGGGAAAGGTAAAGGGGAAAAAAAGAAGAGAATGACCAGCAAAAAAGTGAATAGACTCAGTTATGGTGGCCACAGGTATACTGTTAGAAGACCTGAAAGACCAGATTAGAGAGGAAGAAATCTGCTTTCTAAGAGTCAACACCAACTTGATGGCACATGATGGATCAAAAAGAACATGAACTGGTATGTAATTGGAACTCAGCTCACAACAGGAATCACACGACTGATATAATAATAATTTTTTTAAAAAACAAGTACCAAAATGTTAAGACTAAAGCAGAAAAAATCTGACTGACCTCAGAATATCACAAGGAATATCTTAGTATGTACAGGTAAAAATTGCACCATTGATTTAGATAAAAATATTGTGAAAAGGATGGTTTTATTTCCTTTCTAATGAACATCTAGACAGTAATATTATTTTCACAATGCACAAATCCCAGAATGACATAACAAAAACTGCCATCATATGGTGCATATATGTGATATTATAACATTTTTCCCTCAAAAACATTATTTTACCTTGCTAACATTTTGTCATTTACCCCTATTTGTAAATAGCTTCTGAAGTACTGCACATGCCACTTTTGTTTAACCACTTTAAATACTCTTGTGCCTTTAACATAATTATTAACTTAGTCCATTTGTACACACATTTTAAAAAGTCAATTCTAAAAAGAGTTTGTGGGATCTACCATCTAGATCTGTCCATTGTAAGGACACAGTATTTTAGGTATTTTTTATTGCAAGAATGAGTTAGGAGAGCACCCACTTCTTACATGTGTTATTAAATTATTCATCTTCTTTAGGGTTTATTCTATGTCTACTAAGTTTTCTTAGTCTATTTGGTATACATTTTTATTAAATAATATGCAAAAATACCTCTCATAAGCATGCCAATTGACACACTCAAAAAACTTAGATCCTTGCAGAAAGTATCTGCTTGGTTAATACCTGTTACATAACTTATAATTTTGTACCTAATAATACTTACCTCCCATTTACCTGCCCTATGCTTCCTGGAACTTCCTTTATCTTTTTTGAAATATTGTATTACATTGGCTATTTTCCAATCCTTTAATGTAAAGAGCCAGTTCTACAGATAAGGTGTATATTTTTATTCAAAGATCGACGTGTTCACATTAGAGTTCCTTAAGATCTCTCAGCTGTTTTTACTGGGCTGCCTACTCATTGCCAGTACTGTCAGCAATCATATCTCCTTTACATAAAAGGTAACTAATGATTAATTCATCTTGACTGGTCAGTTTTTAACAAGTTATATACCAGTTCAGGTAGAATCAGCTAGTGGTGAACAGATTAATGCAAGGCTTATGTATCCTCTAAACTACCCTTTCTGTGGTGTTTCTTAAATGATTAACTCACTGCTTGATCACACAATACTCTGATGTTAGCATTAGAGGAATATTTACATAATTATGAAGTGTTTTTCAATCATGTTATTATTAAACAGCAGGAAATGACAGCAGGAACTCAGTCAAGAAAAGGAGTGGTACTATTTGTGAAATTAACTTCCTGTAACTTTGTTGTATTTCCCAGGTTGTGTGTAAAAACTTTTAACAGGTCTATGAGGGTGGTTCTGAGTGCTTCCTCCCTATCTTCAGCCATAAAAAAAACTACAAACAATATTCCTCAAAATAAACAGTGGTCTTTCTCTTGAAATTTAGAAATATGCTTCATTGATAAGGTTTGCAAGTGGCTATCTCTGCTTTTTCCTTCAAATCATGGTTTGTTTAAACTTATTTCATTGGATAAATCATGATTGCCTAGGTTTGCCCAACATGCACTATAAACCATGGTTTAAGAATGGCAATAGACTAAGTCAAATTCAGACAAACCATATTGTGACAATGTATATTATGAACCCAAGTTTGAACAGGGATGCCTGTTCAGGAACTAAAAAAATTCAAGGTGGTAGGCACAACTGTATAATGGAAGCCCCATTTCCTTTTCAATATGTGTGCAATGACATACATACAAAATAAGATCGCTGACATTTCCCTGATTCTGAGAGTTACTTTATTGTTTTACTTTATGGTATTATGCTGATACCATAAAATCAAGCTTTTAGTGTATTATATTTAATGTTTTTCTATCTCAATTTTTACAGAAAATAATGTATTTAACAATTACAATTATCCAAAGGAAACATGAAAAAGGTGTTTATGTATGTGTTAGAGAGAGCTTGGCCTACTAGTTAGGGTAGCAGGCTAGAAACCAGGAAACTTGGAGTTCTAGCTCCAACTTATGCATGAAAGCCCATTGGATGACTTTGAGCCAGTCACACTCTCTAATCCCATAACATCAGGCTCAGGCCTCCAGCCATTGGGTCAATTCCAATTGTCACGTAGTACACTATTGAACCATGCTACCATTCTTGGTCATGAATCTTTCCCATCTTTCAAAGATCTATCTAACTTGCAAAGATCTAGATCTATGTTCTGCCCATTTCTGCGACACCCCCAGACATAAATCCAAACCTTCAGTTCTTTCAGAAGTTCTTCAACCACTAGGAACATCGTCCTTTCCCATTCATTTATAACACGGTGTAGAAATGTGGGTTGCCTCCCAAAATTGTAGAATGGGCAGTTTCATTGTTCCACAAGCAAGCACTTGATGCTCATAGGCAAGTGTTAATCACCATCTTACAAATTTCACAAACTTTTACAGTTTTGTATGGGAGAATGACTGCTCAGAGAGACACAGGAAAGTGGAGCAATGACCTGAGTGTAAGGGTGTGGTTAAGAGTCAGACAAATGTCAAGGAGAGAACATACAGCTTATCTTGATGTTGCTGCTGGCTGGGTAGGACCATAATTACAGCTCTGCCAGCAGGATAGGTGCCTGTTTCTTTAAATACCTTTGTGGGATTACAGCTATGTCTACAGCTATGTCCACAATTAACCGCACTTCTTCCAATTGCTACAAGAACCCAGGATTTGAGGTAAGTCTAAAATGGGTTGTTTTTTGTTGTTCTAGAAAAAGTTCATATACTTGAACACAGTTTCTGGAAAGCACTGTCACCTGCTTCGCAACAAGCAACATTTTTTTAATAACAAATAAACTTGCTAAGAAAAATCCTGTCAGTGCAAATGCTCTTTTCTCAAAGACTGGATACAATTACGCCATTGTGAAGAGATATGCCACTTACTGTGTTCCCCCCCCCCCCGGATTATTATATCAATAGAACAAATTAGTCCTACTCCTGTTTGACTCGGGAACTGAATTAGTTGCAAGTACAACTTTTAGATACATTCTGAACTTATTAAACCTATTTGGGGGAATCAGATTTCCAGTCTAGATCACGTTGCACAGATTGTAATAATTGTGGTAGCAGTATTCATTGTACAACATGATTGTTTTGCAGCACATTTGTATGTATAATTGCATCTTTAAGTATCTTGTTCCATTGTACCAATGTTATCAACACTAATTAGCATTTACTACAATAGTACCCATAGAGACAGAAAATATTTACCTGTAAAATGCTTCAGTAGTGTAACTTCCTCAACCTGGCACTTTCCAGGTTGGTTAAGGTTACAACGCCCCAAATTCTCCAAATAGCACAATCAAAAAAATTCTTCCAGTTACAGCTCATCACATTTGATGATACCTGAATGGGAGAGACTGATTGATTAAATAATTCCAGTAGGTTTTAAAAAAACAGTCTTCCTTGCTTTGATGGCACACTGTCATAGCTGAGGACATTATTTTTATTTTAGCATATCTGGAACATACAAAGTTGTGGGGAAACCTACATAAGAATTTCAGTTAAATATTTGTACTATATTTGCTGCCATCTAATGGTTACCTGGAGTTTTTGCAAATCAGATATACCGGCTCAACTTTTTTTTTTAGTTTCAGACTCAGTTGAGTTGTCAAAAATTGGCTGTTGTGGGTTATAAAATGCAATATTATTTTATATAGCACTTTATAACCCACAACAGCTCAACTTTTTGAATTAATTCACACATGCACCCAATCCTGGGTTTTTCCTCCAACAGAGAAGCAGGGGTAAGATTCAAGTTTTTTAACAACCAGTCCTGTGGGTGTGGCTTAGTTGGTGGGCATGGCTTGGTGGTCATGTTACTGGCTGGGCATGGCCAACTCAACATCACATCAAGGTGCGCTTCTCCTTGCCTGGCCTCTCGCAACTGTGGGGATGCTGCAACAGTTGTAAGTATGAAAAATGGTAATAAGCCACTTTATTCAGTGCCATTGTAACTTTGAATGGTCACGCCACACAAGCAAAGTACCAGTGAAGGAAGAAAGAAAAAACTTCAGAGAAGCTCCAGAGACAGGAAGTCTAGTCCCATCAAGAATGTAATAAGGGTTAATGGAAAGGCAGTTTCTATAAGCAACACCAGAATGTTTCCTTCCTGCCTTCCTTACAGGATTAGGCCAGTAATTTCTTCTAACAACCAGTTCTCCAAACTGCTTAGAATGTTAACAACCAGTTCTAGCAAATAGGTGCGAACTGGTAGGATCTCACGCCTACAGATAAGCAACCTTTTTTATAAGAACAAAGTATTCCTCTGTGTTAATTCTTCCTCTTTAAAAATACAGCCATAAAGATCAGCGTTCAATCTAAACACAGTCTCAGTAGATTTATTCAATTTATGTGTGATTTTGAATGAATATTCAAGTTACATGAATGCTTCTCAAAATTAATCGCAGCTCTGGCAGGACCGGCAGAGTCATTGCAGCTTGCAGGTGTAAAGGTTCATTCACAGTTGAAGCAAACTGATACTTGATTTGGGAGAGAAGCTCTCAGGGGTTTCTTAAGACCAACTGTTGTCCTGACTGTGGAAAATAGGCACATGCACGTTCCCACCCATATACCACATGCAGAGAAATTTTCTTTGGCTACAATGAACCTATAGGTCCCCTCTTTATACATGATTGATTTCTAAGTTGCTGTCACTACTTCATAACTGTTACTTAATTATCTGTAGCAATTTACAGTCAAATCTTGGGAAGTTCTCACACTATGTATCTCCATATGTTTTCTTATATATCATTATTACAACAAAAAAACAAAGGGTTTGATTCAAAATTCAGTTTATACTTGCCATTCCTTAGAATAACTTCAAATATTTTTTTAACTTTTTTGTCAATGGAAAGAAAGAAAAAGTAGTGCACATTAAACAGTGTTGAGAATGTAAACTAATTATGATTTGAAAATATTCTTAAAATATGGCCTGATGAATTAACTGGAATGTAATCTAAAAAAGATCCCAAAGAATTAAGGATATAGATGCACAAATTGATATAGCTATCCTTAGTAAGGTAGTTAACTTGAAATGGTTGAGTAAATACAAATGTACTTTCCAAGTAGATAGCTACTTGAAGTCACAACTTCCAAAACATCTTAGCGAGATATTCATGAGAGTGAGATTTGAACAGCTTGATACAATGGTTAGATACGGGAGATTTCATGCAATACCGTACAGTGAGCATCTTTGCATTTGCAGAGCAGCAGAGGTAGAGGACCTAGCTCACATCCTATTTGACTGCTGCATGTATAAGAGGATGGTCTATATATCAGACGAATGACCCATTGGGATACCCATATCAACATAACTTACCTTATGTTCGGCCAGAACTTGAAAATAACATATAAAGTAGCACAGTGTTTAAACAAAACGATTCCGTTAAGTTCTGCATATGTGGGATTGATTGGGGTAGACTGCAAGGGAAATTCCAAAATATAATGTTATTATATTTTATCTATATCTTAAATTATCATGCATTATTACAAGTTTATTTTGGATTGTATTTTATTACTATTTCATCTTAGATCATGTTTTGTCTAGATTCCATTTTAAATTGTATTTTATTGGGTTCCATTTTAAATAGTATTTTATCAGATTTCACTTTGAATTGCTTTTACTGAATTTTGGTAACAAATTGTTGCTGGAACTTTGCACTTTGATATGGCCCAAGGGCTAATCAATAAAGATTTTTATTATCTTGGAATGATTCATTTTTAAACAACTTTAGAAAATCAAGAAGCTCAGATTTTGATGGGAACAAGTGCATTTAGGAAGGAAGTTTTCTCCTGAAATCCCATTCTAATCTAAATTGCATCTCTTCCCTCTCCTACCCCCCACAATCTCACTGTTTCCTACATCTAGTAGTAGTTTGGAGTTAGGATAGTTTCTAAATATTTGGGCTGTAATTCCAATCAGCTAGAATTCTGGCTGTTTTATTTCATAATATCTGGAAGAGACGAGGCCAGATGGGAAAAGACTGAACTAATCCCATCATAAGAAGAAGAAAAAACACCCCCAAAGATAGATATCCATATCATGCTTCAATTTAAAGCTGGTTAAAAAGAAGAAAAAAATAGATTGATAGAACCTTTACTCTGAAGTAGGGTTTTCCTTGGATCTCCCATATCCTTTTGGCACCAAGTTAATTTCTTTGATTTTCAGAGATGAATAGATTAATCATTAAACTTAAAACAAAGACTATCAGTCAACATTAATATAAATGTGTTCCAGTTTATTTATTCTAAAAAATAAGTGAAGAATTTATATCAATCATCCAGTGGCACTTAGCTTTTTTTTGTGGTCAAAATATCACATAATAGCCGCTGTGAATTATTATCAAGTTTAACAGGGACAACTGTGGGATGTAGGAAGTAAGGATTGGCAACCTTTTCTCTTTTTCACCTTCTTCCTCATAAGTGTTCGTTATGAATTATTTCTTAATATCTTCATTCTCACTATTACTCAGGTTGAATTGAAAGTGTCATTATTTATTTATTTTATTTTTTATTTATTTTGACTTGTCAATTGCTTACAAGATAATAGGTATAAGTATGAACATAGTTATGAATATTCATAGTTATGAATAGTCGTATTTCCTGCAATCAAGTTTGGTGCGGTTAACCATGCGTTTGTATCTACCGTGTTTCTCATATAATAAGGCCGGGTCTTATTTTTTTTTTTTTTTTTTTGAGCCCTGAAAAAATGGCTAGGCTGTCTTTTCGGGGGTGACTTAATTCCCCCCCCCCGCATCTTTGGGCAGGCGGCGACTGCTTGGATGTTGACCTCGGCGTTGGTGGGGCACTTCGTATCGGCGTCAACGCAGGCAGCACCATATCCGGGTGTGCAACAAAAGTACTTCCTAATGGCAAGCCCCACCACCACCATCCCCCCCACTTCACATATTTTAATACAGACCTTAATTTGGGGGGAGGGGCTTAATTTCATTTCATGCCTATAAAACATGCTGGGACTTCCTATTAGGGGAGGCCGTATTGTTGGAGAAACAGGGTATTGTGTGCTCTTGTATTGTTGTGGTTGAAGCTGAAGTATTCATTGACAGGTAGAACATTGCAATGTATGATTTTATATACTATACTTAGATCGGACTGAAGGAGGCATAGTTCTAGCTTTTCTAGGTCTAGAATTTCAAGTCTGGTGGCATAAGGTATTCTGCAATGAGTAGAGGAGTGGAGAAGTCTTCTTGTGAAATATTTCTGGACTTTCTCTATTGTGTTAATATCAGATACATAATGTGGGTTCCAGACTGATGAGCTGTATTCAAGTATTGGTCTAGCAAATGTTTTGTATGCTCTAGTAAGTAGTGTGATATTACCAGAGAAGAAGCTACGTACGATTAGATTAACAACTCTTAATGCCTTTTTGGCTATGTAGTTACAGTGGGCTCTAGCACTTAGATCATTGGATATGAGTACTCCAAGGTCCTTGACAGAGTTTGGATCATCAACAAAGTCTTGACTATTTAGCTTGTATTTTATTTTCTGATTTTTTTCTGCCACTATGTAAGACAGAGCATTTATTTGTTGATATTTTAAGTTGCCATTTGATTGACCATTCTGATACATGGTCAAGGTCTTTTTGGAGGGTAGTAGTATTGTCTGTGGTGTTGAATAGCTTTACATCAACAGCAAAGAGAACGCAGTTGATCTTA